GTTAAAATTCATACAATTCAAAAGACTATCTTCTTTTTTATACTGCTGCTGGCATAGAAATCTCTCTTCAACAATCAAGTGATGAGGCTTACATTCACCATCCTTAAATGCATTGGCCAGTAGCTTAAGAAGGCTTTTCAGCTTGCATGACTGAGTGCATTTGCATAACTCTGGCATGAGGTTCTGGATTTTTAATCCTCGCCATTGCTTCCGTACATTGCCCTTCTGCTCCTGGGGACAAGCTTGGGGCATGGCCAGGATGAATTCACATTCACAGTGCGACTAATCGATCTGCTGCTAAAACCACCTCCTCAAGATGGTCACAGCAACTTTGCTCTGGGCAATTAGCCTTGGCATTCAGTACCAATTTATAATGCACCTCCAGTCTGCTGCAACTGCAATAAAACTGTACCTACTGAACATGGACTGAAACGGCCATCTGCATATGTCCAGTTCTTTGCGAAATCAATTTCCATTAGAACAAAGGAGAGGCGATTGAAACAAAATAACTCATCCAGATATGGATGAGTTATTTTGGAGTCCTGTAGCTCAGTGGTTAGAGCATTCGCCTTGCAAGCGAGACACCTGGGTTCAATTCCAGGTAGGGTGAAACCATGGGCAAGTTTCCTTACTCCACACACCTAATAATAATCCCTCCAAAACAAAACAATAATAAATTGGTCATTTTCAATCCATGACTGTTTGTGGGACACTGCTGTGCGCAATTGACTGCCGCGTTTCGCCCACAAATATACGGTCAATTCACTTTACAGTCTATTCTGTGAAGTGCTTTGAGACGTTGATAAGACATGAAAAGCACTATATCAAATGCAAGGATTATTATTATTATTAGATATTGGTTACGATATGAACAAACTTAAATGTTGTGAACTTTACCTGAAATGTTGGAACCTGTAGCAAACAAGTCGCTTCATTCCCTTTCTTGGGTCCTCGACTAACCCAATAGAGCACAAGATTTCAATGCAACTCCAGGAGATCTTCTGCGTTGTCTTGCAATTCCTTTCCTTCACTCCCTCAAGGGACACGTTAATTGAATTCCAAATGAAATTGTGTTTTGCACCAAGAAATAAGCATTTTTAACAAAAGATTTCACATCACATCGTAGCATCCATACCTCAAATGTCTGCTGGTGTAATTTATGGTACCACTTGAAAATAAATAAGAGCCAGTCACCTTGAAAAACACAGCTATACAATTTATTAAACACCAAATATTTTGTCTTGGCAAAGATGTTACTTGGAGCTGCTTAAAGATATATTTATTTTTAATAAGGGTTAAACGTTATTTTCATTTTATTGAAGTAACTAAATACTTAATTGGTGCTCTATTAGTTGTAACACAAGTACAGAACAATAGGGGTGTGATGTATTTATTATACTGTGCTATCCGGTGTTACTAACACAGGATCGTATTCCCAAGCTTCAGTTGGTTGAGTGTGTGGGGATGTCATTAACATAACATAAGGGAACATAACATAACATAAGAGGAAGCTATGCAAAAGCTTTAGAAGCATGATTCAGACATTCAACAACGTGTAGCATATATGTGTCTATGTGCACTGTGTAAGTCAAAGGTAGGTGTTCTACACTTCGGCATCAATGCTAGATTCTAGTCAGATGTTGACTGCATCATCAGGTTACATAATGGGCAAGATTTCTTTACCATTCTGTCAGAGCTGACGAGGTGGTACTTACATATAAGAGTCATGGTACTTAGCAGCACATTTCTAATCTTCCCCTCTCCCTTCTCACATCATTTCACAAATCATGGGACAAATCATGCCTTACTGATGCTCTGCTATGAATCAGAACAAATTATAAACAAAAAGAAAATTGGATACATAGCACATTTGGGAGAAATACTCAGATTGTGCTTTTTTGCATCCATTTGCTTACATACTTATTTGGGTGGAGTCTGAGGCATTGACCCTCTAAACTGACAATGAATACTTAAACACACACACATATGCATGCATTCAGTTTGATGGCCCAGTATGTTTGCAGATTTAAATTACAATTCAATTTTTATGCAGGGCATTAAAATCTACTTCACTTTACTGAATATGCTACATTTTTAGCACCATGAAATACAAGTGCACTGACAGTAGCAATAATTCATTCGACACATTAAAACATTCATACCTAGTAACAAATGGGCTGGTTTAATTTTATTTTGTGGTGTTCAAACAACATACTTTGCATTTAATTTCCTTCAGCTGCATGTACTGTTCCTTTTTGTAGATAAAGCAACTTCAGGAGAACGTAGCACAGTTTAAGACTCAGTTGAACAGACAACTTGGCCTTGAATTGAACTGAAACCTATGTGTTAATTATTCACTTTCAAATTGCGGGCATGATATACAATAACACAAGCCTAGAAAAAAAATGCTTCGGCAAATACTTAAAAGAGGATTTTTTTCAAATTATGTACGTGTGGAGAATCATTCGTACCCTTGAGATGTTTTTATGTTCGCTCTGATTACATTTCTAAATTGTAACGTTGTGTCTTTAGTAAAAGCGTAAAAAGGCCCTCTTACATATCGAGACGTTCATTGAGAAAACTGGTTCAGTTGCCTTACAGTTTCATGAGGTGAATACTTACACATTGAAATTGGTTCTACCACACATCAATTAATGAAAGGAATCAGTACGTGATAGTGGGGGTGGGTGGAAGGCAGGGTTATGAACCAAGCATGAAATCTTACATTCACGCTAAATATCAAATCTCAAACCAGTTGGGTAAACAGTGCAATGTTTGGATCCCTTTCTTTGCAAACGTAAACAGCAAACCTAAAACTATTGAAAGTTGAACATTGCCCATTGTACAGTAAACTATTTTTATCAGAAATGTGAGGCAGAGCTCATCTCTATTGCAGCTAAAAAATGACCTTTAAATAATACCCTGTGACATGCCTCTCCATTTCTCATCTCGCTCCCCTTGTGGTTTTGCACAGTGAGATTGTTCCATCTCTCTCTCTGACAGTTCTGAAGTTGTATATAAAACTACAGCTGTCTCAATTCAGTTGCAATTGGGTACAACCTCACAGCACAAATTAACAATTTCATTGAGAAATAAGCACAGAGATTATTGGAAATTTAAAAAAAGCACTATTGCAGGCAGCAGGGGATGATCTTCTGGAATTGGAAGCTGAATCGATGTGATGTGAGTCAAAGGATCATCTTGCCATTCTATTCGTAACCTGAGAGAGGCTGAACAAGTGTTAAAAAAGTTATTCCTCAGCAATAACCCTTTAATGAGTACAACGCAAGCACCAAATATTTACATTTAAATGAAGAAAGAGTCCAACAATTGCAAATCACCTTGGCTATGATTTTGTTTTCGCAAATAACACAACCACTCTCAGCTCTGATTTGCATAAACGCAAAAGAATATTGGTTGACCTATTTAAATTTATTTATGTGGGAGGGATTATTTCTCAGGTGAATTGCCAGGCCAAGCATGCTACTTTGTTTGCAGCCAATTTTCCATTTTCTTTACTCTTTCATTTGTTTCTTACTAAAAATAACTTGCAAAGTAATTTGACTGTTAAAAGCCTGAGTAAAATACAATTAAAGCATTCTGTTCAATTTGGAGGTCATTTGTATAATGAGACTTTTAAATACTTCAATACATTGGGGACAACCGGCATGCAGTTTTGCTTTCACATTGTGAGTAAGGTTTTATAATTTTAATGTGATTTTGATCCAGCTTTTATTCTTCCAAATGCAACATCCACAAATTTTCCAACAACGATTTAGGGTTCCCACGTAAATTCCTTTCTGAAAAAAGATAATAAAAATGACAGAATCACAGCTAGTTATGTCTAATATATGGATCCTGTTAGCTCAGTCATTAAGGGCAATTAGATGCGAGTATTCCAGCAAATTAATTAAACTGGAGAACCAAAGTCATTAAAATGTTAAAAGGTCCTTTCTTCAAACGGATCCAGATTTCAATATCAAATTGAAAAATGACAAAGGTATTTTCTTTGTAATACTGTAAAATAAGAAAGGTGAACGTGTCTTTCAGATGCTGACTCAAAATGTACAACTTTGTTTTCCTGAGGCTGCACGACACAAAACATGACTCTACTGAAAGCTGCAGCCTTTTAATACTTACTTCGAGGTAAATGAGAAATACAGATTTGCACACGGGGAATTATGCAAAGGTTTACAATTCAGAGAGGGGGCTATTCACCCACTGTATCTGTGCTGGTACAATCTTACCCCTTGGAGTCATCTGCTCAAATCCACCTTCTCCACATCCTTTAATATTGTGTAAAAGATAACATTTATCAAATTCTCTTTTAAAAGTTGTTATGGACTCTAACCTTAATATTCAATTTGTGGTATTCCAACAACTCTCAGTGTAAAAGAAGTCCTCTTTTTCTATTCTGGTAATATTTCTCAAAATGGCTTGTTATCAATTCAGCAGAAATGGTCGCTCTATCCACTCTGTCAAAATCACACATAATGTTTGAAAATTACATTGAAAGCATTCTACAATAAGATCCCTTAGATACTGCATCCAGGCTGCCTTTACAGATAGATAGAATACAGGTTAGTCCTCGAATGATTAATTTATCGTAAGGGCCAGTGATCAACAAACACAGGTGGTTTCTGTCTATAGATGTGGGTATATAGGAATCTTCTCTCTCAGTGCTTAAAAGAGGTTGAAAAAAAAAGTGAGACAGATTTCAAACCCGTTTAAATATCTAAATTTGTGTTTATTGTCAAAGGGTGAAACACATAGAAATAGGTTACACTGTTTGTTTTATTGAAATGAGTGAAACTTGACAGGTCTGGGTCAATGCCCCTTGAAAAATGAAATTCCGTTTTATCATTTCTCTGACTCCTGTAAGGTTTATGGTACACGCCCCATAAAATCCTTATGTGGATTGAGTAGCTTAAGTGTCAATTATTAGTCACTTCCTCCAGGTTGTCAAAGCATGATATAATGTGTGCTTCCCTGTCTTTACAGATTGCATATGTTGACAGGAGTCTTAACAATGTTCAGCAGATAATCGGGGTGAGCATGGCTTGGCTGGTCAAATCGGGTTGGGCTGCTGCCAGACAGGTTTGGTTCTACTTGCGGATTTTGTGCAAAATGGCAATTTATGCTCTCTGGCAAGGAATACTCTTCGCACTTGTGGTAAAACGTGACACGGAGCAAGCTCTCCCCTTGCCCCTTGACTTGCGGTGTAAATAGTTCAGTACTGTGATCGAGCTCAATAGGCTGAGAACATAGCAAAGAAGCCACACCAACCTTGAATCCGAAATGCAGCCTATTTGCTCATCTCTCCCAAGTAACGAACGATCTTAGCAAGCAGATTATCCTTTAAAATTCACCATGTAATAATGTGCTTTGTTGAATTCATTTTCACTTTAATGCCTGATCTGGTTTTAGATTAATTCAACTTAATACTTTTTCAGATCATTTGCACATTGCAGTTCCCAGTTGTTCTGTATTATCATTTTGCATTGGTGAAATTGAAGTTAAAATATGAATAGAACTAATTGAAAGCACTTTAATAGTTGGCCTCAATTCAGCTCCTTGTGACAGGCAATATTTTGTATGTAATGGCTCCTTTTTTGAGTGGCAGTCAGACTATGAGTACTGTATTTAAATGCAAAGATTACGATAGCACAATCATTACTTTTCTGCAACGGCACTGGCATCTTTATCGTGGAAGTTCAATCACTTAAACTGTTGGCTGGCAGTATGCAGTAACGGATGGGTATCTCTTAATACTTGAGCCACCACAAGATTCAGGCCCTGCCTAGTTGCACATTTAACAGCTATTCATCGTACTAACACTGGCCGAGTATACTTATTTAATCCTTTATTGTACACAACATAACAACACAGAGTTGTTTATCTGTACAGCATTTGCCTGAAAACAAAAGGCATTACCATTGTCACTGAAAAGAAACATACAGCTCAATTTTTAAAAAATATCAATTTAATAAGTAGTCCATAAATGGGCTTTTTTTTCTTTAAGATGCAGGAAACCATATTTCCTTGGTCAAAGGCTTCTGTGAAAATGTTTCACTGTTTAATTCCCCCAAACTCCAGAACCAGGAAGCCAATCCCTAATGCAGGATAAGGCACCAGTGCTAATTCATGCCCTTATGCCTTTCACTGCTGCCTGCTGATTTCTATCAAACAATTGCGTGCATGAGCTGGTCCGTTTACTACCTTGCTGGAAATACCATCGAACAGAAACACAAGCATAGAATTTCCGAATTGTTACAAGGCAATGTTCCTTTAATAGTAACAGATTTAGAGTGGTCACACGGTGCTCTCCATTATCCACTCAGAACTGGAGAAGACAGCTTTCCCACCATCAACATCAGAGTTAGCCAACTGTAACAACATTCCATTCATGGACATGCTCCTTTTTGACCACAGGCTGTTAATGCTTTGTGAATGAGTATAGCAATGATATTCAGATACCTCTGCATCCAGTGAATACCTCCGCTTAGCTCTGCTTATTTCTGTCGGCAGAGTAAGGAATTTGATAGACTTGGAATGTGCTCGTCTAAAAGTAGGGGTGTCTTTCAAAGAAATTTGAGCGCAGGTGGACTTCTGTAAAATGGCAGTATTTTCCTTTTTTTTGAGGGACTCGACATTGGTGAAAGCTTCCATTGGTGATTCCACGCTTGGATTTAGCCCAGCCTTTCTTTTCAGCTTCTGAGATGGACTAACACTTGCAGTCCAGTCGTGTGGCAGAGTGGAGGTAGTGGTCGAGCAGTCCTGGCTCAGAGTGGACTCTGACAGTTGTGTTTTGCTTTCGCTGGGATCTTTGTTACACCGTGTGATGTTATCGTCGTGGCCCATGGCTACTTTAGAATTGGAGTGGGATAGCACACTGCCACACATTTGCAAATGAGCTCCGTTGGTCTGAGAGTAGACGTTACTAACCTTTGTCATCTTGTGCTGGTCATTGTTGTTGCACACTTTGTATCTAATCATAAGGATGATAATAAAGACCAATACTGAGGCCACAATAATCCCACCTATTATGATTATCATGGTTCCTCCCAGAAACTGGGATGGCATAAAGTGGCAGCGAACATAATCCTGGTCTGTGGTGAACTCTACGCAGCCCACGACTCTGGTGGCAGTGAGGGAGGTGATACCATCATCATAGATTGCCAAGACACACAAGTCATACAGCGTTCCTGCAGCCAGGTTCGTGACAAGAAAAGTTTTGCTTGTGGATGGAATCATTCTGAGGGATAACATTTGGACTTGCGTTAGTACACCCAGAAAGTCATTACTTTACTGTTTCTTTTTCTAAATCAGTGGAACACATTTTGTTCTCTGTATCATTGAAGGCTTAGGGCGTGATACATTTTGATGCGTTTAGGGGAAGGTAACTACGCTTAACTTAAAAATGAGTGTGACTGTAGATTACCTTATAACAATAGCACTCATAGGATTCATTGACAGATTTGCTTTGCCTGCATGCAAACTGCACAATTACAGAATTTTACAATTCACAAACAATTTGACTTTGAAAGCCAATGCTTTGAAACTACTGAATATCTTCCTACTAGTGCACACAATAAACAAGTTCTAAATCTATAAAAAGGATTGCAAAAGGCAGATTAATTACCAAAGGATGCAACATCAAATTGATTTGGGATGTATTAACTAAAGTGTCTTTCCATTTCTATGCATTTTAACACAACCAACCACCTGAGGATGGACATCAACTGCAATGTGTCAGCATACACAGAATCAAGTCAGATTATGTTGCAGGATTAATGATCACTTTGGCATTGCGAGTGCTTTGCTCTTGCTTGTTTATTACCATAGAAAGGCAAACAGTGCATTGCATTAATAATTAATAAAGAACGGCATACTTACAATGCTGGCACAAGGCTGCAATATGACAATAGTAAGTGGTTTCACCCCAGTAATAAAGCACTGCATTAACAAAATCAATAAGCAACAAGCTGCTTATGTGCTTAACTCACAATATAGAAATATACAACACGACTCACCTGTAAACGAGTGAGTCATCGTAAGAGCCATTGTACTGGATCTGGAACATACGAATACCGGGGATATTATGTTGCAAATTAAATTTAATAAGTGCAGATGAGGATGTTGTCTCAGCAACCGCCACTCGTCGTTCTGGTTTAACTTTAGTGTCGCTGACACTGTTGCTGGTATTGGAACCAGATTTAGTAGAAGTAGAAATATCTGACGAACCCGGATCAGGCTCGTGAATATGGTTTGTGCTGTTGATCAAATGAGGAAGTTTAATGATGTGAAGTTCCACCATTGCGGTGGTTTCTCCGGCAGCGTTTGATGCAATGCAGGTGAAAGTGCCCGTATCTTTGACAGTAGTTATCAGGATGTCCAAGGTACCATTGGCATATAAGACTGTCCTGGACATATTTGAAATGAGTTTACCTTCGGGTGAACTCCAGTGTATCGACGGGTCGGGGTCTCCTATAGCCTTGCACTTCAGTGTCGCTCGTTGGCCTTCTAAAACTCTGAGCTCGTGGGTGTGCCGAGTAATGAGAGGCTGGTCACAGATGAACTCTTCCTCTGGGATGGACCAAAAGTATCTGCCTGTTAAATGTGTAGGTGAAGCACACGTCTCCAAATCATCCTCCCTTGAGAGCCGCCTCAACCATAGTAACTCACAGTTGCAGTGCAAGGGATTCCCCCCAAAACTTAACACAAAACCCGTTGGGTTCATGATTCCTAAATTGGCTAGCACCTGAACTCTCGTGAACAAAGGATCTGGTGGGAGCTTGCGCAATTTATTAGATGTCATGTCCAACCTGATCAACTTGTGGAGGTGGGAGAAGGTGCCTTCATCAATGTGCTCAAGCATGTTATGGTCCAGGCTGAGAGTATGCAAGTTGACCATTTTCTCAACCGCCTCCCATGGAATTGTTTTTAAGTTATTATAGGATACATCCAGTTCTTCAAGAGACAACAAAATATCACTAAACGCCCCAGAGGAGATTTCAATGAGTTGATTGTTATTGACTATCAAATGGTGAAGCTTGGAAAGCCTACTGAACATTTCGTTTGTAATCTGAGTCAGTCTGTTGCTGTTCAGATGTAAGGCCCGCAGGTTACACAGGTCTGAAAATGCTTGTGGCGCAATATGGTTAATTGTATTCCTTGACAACGTAAGGTCAACCAGGCCGGTCATGTTAGCAAAGTCTTTCCTTTTGATGCTTGTAATGAAATTATCTCCCAAGCGAAGCTCCACTGTCCGCCTGTCAATGTTTGGTGGGACAAAGAGAAGTCCTTTTTTGGCACAAAGAGTTGCGAGATTTGGAGACAGATTCTGACAGACACAACGTTTTGGACAGACCTGCGCCTTCACTGCCATGCCAATTAACAGCAGATAAAAAAGCAGTTTTTCCATTGTAAGTCAGGTTAAAGAGTCTAGAAAAGAAACAGAATATTTAGTGGATAATTGAAAAGCAGTTGAATCACATTAATAATAGGAACCCTGATGCATCTATGGATTTTCAACCAAAAGACCATGGCAGTAACTATTTCTGAAGATACTCGTCATAAGCATTCTGATTTATCTAAAATGCTAAACAACACAGCCGCCCAAAACAGAATAGGAGGAGATGGATTCATGGCTATAAAATTACAATAGAACTGGTTCTTGATCCTAGCTCTGCCATCAGGGAGGCGTCAAGTGAAGAGACCATTTGCAAGTGAGTCACCATAGAATAATCCATGTGCATTTCCTGCAAATTGGTACAATAGCATAGGCTTGAGAGTGTCAATCTCTCATCCCATCCAACATTTCAGCCAAGCAGTCATGTGAAGTCTACGAAGACCTATAAATAGTTGGGGAAAACAAATATCTTTAAATGGGGAGAATAATCCAAAGTGTGGAAAAAATTAGTGCATTGCATAGTTAATAACCTAATGCAGTATTCATTAGTGCTGCGCAGTTAAGTTCCATACAGCATAAAATTCTTGTCAATTATTAATCACTCTGCCTGAAAAATAAATGGCAACTGAGAGGCATTAATGACAATTCAAGGTTCTGCAGAGGTAACAAAATGAAAATCACTGATGGAAACTTAAAGTGACTGGGAAATGAACTGTTAGCATCTGTTTTGATGCAATGTAATTTATTCCTGGTTACACAATGCACTCCTCAGCATTTGTTCACCTAGCGCGTTCCCCTGTGAGATACAAGCACTGGGTAAGCATTTGAAAACAACAAAAACTGCAGCAACAAAAACGTCATTTGAAATGAGGCAGCAGGGAGTCCTGTAGTGTATTGGTTAGAGCAATCGACTTGCAAGTGAGAGGACATGGGGTTCGTTTACTGGGCAGGGTGAACCGTTAGGCAACTTTCCTTACTCCACATGCCTCTGTTCACTTAGCAGTAAGTAGGAACCCGGTTGTTAGTTGATTGCCGGATCACCTTTCCGGGGGTAATAATCCCTTCAAAAAAAATGATAACATATAATAATAATAATTTGGTCACTCAAACCACTCAAACCTCATCCTCACGTACAAGGCCATTCACGGCCTTGCTCCCTCCTACCTCTCCAACCTACTATCCCCCTACCTACCTGCCCGTACTCTCCGTTCCTCTGGCTCCGGTCTGCTCCACGTCCCCCGCCCCAACCGCCCTACTATCGGTGGTCGGGCCTTCAGCCTCTCAGCCCCGAGGCTCTGGAACTCCATCCCCCAGTGCCTTCGCCTTGCTTCCTCCCTTTCCTCCTTCAAGGCCGGTCTCAAACCTTTCTCTTTGACCGTGCCTTCAGCTCCCTCTCGACTCTCTTCCTCCTCCTCGCTCCCTCCCTTCCCTCCCCTCACCCTGACCATTTCCCCCTCCTCTCTCCCTCCTTCCTCCCTCACCCTGACCATTTCCCCCTGCTCGGGTCATGACCCAACTGTGCAGCGCCTTGGGACGTCCTCCTGACGTGAAAGGCGCTCTATAAATGGAATCTTGTTGTTGTTGTTGTTGTTGTTGACTGTTCGCCCACAAAATATACAGTCAATTCGCTTTACACTATAATCTGTGAAGTGCTTTGAGACATCTCAAAGACATGATAAGGCGCTATATCAAATACAAGGATTATTATTGGTACTTGGTTTCCAATTTTTTGGTAGGTTTTTATATGTATGTATAAACATTCATATAGCTCCAGTAGAGGAGATAGCACCAGCCGAGACCCGATAATGTTAATGGCTTCCTTCTGTGCTTTAATCTCTATGATTTAATATCTGTATTAAAATTTTACTGTTGTGCCATATTGGATGTCGTGAAACACGTTTACTCGTGTCTTCTATTTCCCCTTCTTTATCTGTAAATGCAACATCATTGACCTGATAGATTTCCAATTATCAGCCAGAGGCGGAAAGTGTTAAATTGAAAGTGTATAACTGTGTTTAAGATGATTGGAAATCTTTAATATAGCATTAATAATTCCAAGATGATGCCAGTAGGTGTCATTTCAATTGATAGTCTCATTCACACCTGCCGAGACAACTGTAAAATGACTGTCATTCCAGATTACAAAAATAGTATAGGTAAGATATATACCAAATATTTAATATTCATTTATACTTAACAGCTTTCTAAATTAGCAATGTGGGTTTGTTCAAATTTTCATTGACAGAAGGTCGCAGCATAGTCAGAGCAGCCCAGCGTGATTATCTACTGTGAATGTACGTCAGACGTATCTCATCGGAGATTCGAGTGTGAAATGGGAAGTTCATTAATGCTGTTGATATCTCCCATGCTGGGTATTTCATAACCTGTTATATTAAAAAGTGTATACCAGCTGAGGTGTAGCCAGCAATAATAAAGCTGTCCTTTTACACTGTTCCCTCAAACCGTACTAGGATGTTTCAAATCTCATAGGGTATCAGAGGCAGAAATAAATAATCACTCTAGAAAGCACAATTTAAGTATTGTTACAAAATACAATTGAACAATAATGCCTGCATTTGATATAGCGGTATCACATCTTCGAGATATCTCAAAGCGCTTCACAGAATAGACTGTAAAATGAATTGACTATGTTTTGTGGGCGAAACGTCCCCACAAAATCTAATCTAAAGAATTTTAATCTAAAGAATTTTAGATTGGGAAACACAACAATTAATTTTGATTACCACACAGTGAGAACAATGAGAGGAGAAAGTGAGTGTACAATGACATAATTGGAGGCTGGGTTGAACAAGAAAGAGAGATTCATCAGAGCAACATCATGTAATCAGTAAAAGAGCAAAAAACAGGAAAGGTTGTAAAAGAGAAAGAGAGAACATGAACTTTTTGTCCTCCACGTCTGTTATTGCCTATCTGAGAGAGATCTTTAGCATGGATCTTTTTATCACAAATGACAATTATTAAATTATATTCCCGGTAATCAGATTCATAAATTGATTCAGAATCAGATTAAGATTCAAAATCATTTCTCGTCTTTTTTTATTTTATCATGTTATTGATACTGCAGTATTTATGGTCATTGTCCTCTGAATATTCCTCTGTGGTTCCTACCCAGCGCTCAAAATATACATCTTCACAAGATTGGTTTGAATGAAGAGGGCCCTTCGGTCCATCTAATCTCATCCCTCCAGAACACCCACCCCACTGTCCTTCCATCACAGCATCAAGCTGCTTTTTACATACGTCCAGTGTCCTGGACTCTACCACCCTTCCTGGCAACCTGTTCCTGTTGTTAAAAAAAAAAGAGGGATTAGGGGATATGGGAATAGGGCAGGTAATTAGAGTTAGATCTGAAGATCAGCCATGATCTTATCGAATGGCGGGGCAGACTCGAAGGGCCGAATGGCCTACTCCTGCTCCTAATTCTTATGTTTTTATGTTCTTAATTACCCTCCGAGTAAAGAAATACTTCCTAGTATCTGTCCTGATATCAGCCTGTGCAACTCTAAATCTGTGTCCTCTTGTTCTATTGTCTTGGTGAATTCTAAAGTATTGTCTAGGTTTAATTTTTGAATCCCATTTTAAAATTTTATATACCTCCATCAGATCACACTTGAGTCATCTTCTCTCAAGACTGATTAATGTATCTTGTTGAAGCTATAGCATAAGAGCACCATTTCCTACTCTCATAGATGTTTCTCAGAAGCTTCAACCTGTGAAACTCATTCCTCTGTCTATCTTTTGCAGCCTTTTAAACCAAGTTGTTACCTAACTCCTGCTTCTTAACTTGTCTCATCCCTGCTCCATCTTTTGCCTTGGGAGTGTCACACACCATTGACCACCACCTTCGATTTAGATCTTTCCAGTAATAAGACAATAAACACAGTGGAATCTCAATGATCCTTGTTCTGAATATCAATAGGCAGATGATAAATGGAACATCCTCAAAGTGGTTAGCACAATGTCAGTGCTGCAACAAACTTTTTCTGAACACAATGTTCCAGCTCTTACCCACCTCAAAGCCTACATATTGCAGAGAAATACATTCCTTTTTGTTCCGTAACACAATAGAGCGAAACAAGAGATGCCATAAAATAAGTGACATCATTCCAATTTTACGATGAAACGATTGTAATGGATTGTTGGAGCCGGAGTCTTAAAGGGTACAGCATTTTAACTGGAAACCACTGATAAAGGTATAATGACTTGGCTCTGTCGCAGTAATGTATTTGTTTGTAATAAATTTAAAAGGATGCAGCAGAGATAGTCTTGCACAATAAGATGATTAACTGTGGTAACGTTTTGATTTTTTTTTAAAATGGCATTTTTGAAAGCTTTTCACAAAGCTATGTCGCCATGAAAGCATTCCAATGGGGTCAATCAATTAAAAATTACACTATTCAGAAATGATTCTTACAGTCTATTCATCAGAACTGAACTAGAGTGGAACCTTGACTGCCCAGCAATTATCCACTAGAATTGGGTGGCGGGAGATGGGGGAAAAAAATATTATAACACACTACATTATTCACTCTCTGCACAACTTCAGCCCAATGCCTTCCAAGGCTTTAAATCCAGTAACCCAAATATTGCCTCAAATTGGCTTTAAGCATTCATCACACACATGCTTTGCGTGAACTCACTAACGCATTACTACCAAGTTTTGTCATTAGCACAGTGGGACTACAACACTCCATTATGTTTTATTATAATAAAGTCATTGTCTCTAGCTGGCCACAGTTAAGTCAATTAGATGCATCAGTCTGAAATTGTTACTGACTCAAATTATTTTGTGAAGTGGGAAATTCTCTATGGCAATTCAAGTATAGGCAGTGGATTATTAACACTTGGGAACATTTTATGAGATGTTGTTACTACAGTCAGCTTGCTTCTAGTGCATAATAGTATCTCAGTGATATCTTGAGTAAGATATTGATCTAAGGTGTTTCTGCAGTGCATCTGAATGTACATCTTCATAGTTTTTTTTGGGTCAGCCAGGTATC